CATATGATAAGCAGCAATGTCCACAATAGCCAAACTGTGGAAGGAGCTGAGATGCCCTTCAACACATGAATGGACAAAGAAGATGTGGTACATATATACAATGGAATATTACTCAGCCATCAGAAAAGCTGAATACCCACCATTTGCATTGACATGGATGGAACTGGAGGGGATTATGCTAAGTGAAATAAGTCAAGCAGAGAAAGACAGATTTTCTTTTCTTTTGTCAGCTTTAGTGTATTTTTAATCTCTGAAGCATCTCTCTATTTACTCAAATTAACATTCCTTAGCTTAAAGTTGCTCATATTAGCCTTGTGTTGTCCTTACATTAAAAGAAAAATGCGGGGAACAAAAAACACAAATACCTGTAAAATTAATGAATGTTTACATATGTATATATCCATGTAGCCGTTCTGCAGACAAAAATATAGGACATTTCCATCACCCTAGTATTCCTCAACAATACCCCAGAGATAAAAAGATGAACACTACTACATTTATTGGGAATATTTAGCAACTAGAACTCTCAATTATTTTGGGTGAGAGCGTAAATTTGTAGAAGCATTTTGGAAAATAGTTTGCCTACATATACTAAAGCTAAATATTGCTTACTCTAATGCCCAGACATATCACTTCTGGGTGTATGCCTGGGAGAAATATATACATATGGCCCACAAAAGGCATGCTTCCTATCACCTTCACTCATAATAGCCAAAAATTGGAATATTCTTCAGCAGAAAAATGAATCAACTAATATTTGTATAATGAAATGTTACAGCAATACAGAGAACAAACTCCTGTTATAGGTCATACATGATTGAATCTGACAGATGTCATGTTGAACTAAAGAAGCCAGATGTAGGCATTCTACCATATGATTCTTTCTACATGAACTTTAAGAAGTGTCAAAACTAACCTTCTGGTAATATGTATCATGAGAGTAGTCACCTCTGAGAGGATAGTGCCTCAGAAGGGAAAAGAGGGAGCCTTCTAACCGGAAGGAAATGTTATATATTTTGATTTGTGGGGTGGTTACACTGGCATGTACATATGGAAACCTCATTGGGCTGTGCGATTCAAATTTGTGTCCTGTGCTGACTTATGCCATAATCCAGTACATTTTTGGGAAACTGGCTGGCAGCTTGGTGCTCACAGACAGAGCTGTTGACTGAGTTTCACTGAAGTGCAATCTAGCTGGGAAACCTATTTTGAGGAGGGAAACTCCAATGCCAGTATCTTTAGTTCTTTCCTGTTCAGCCTCCAAAGAAGATTCTTCTAATATTCTACATCCACGATAGAGGTCTGACAGCAACATCTGGATAAAGGGCTGTGGGTCTCAGCATTCCACATCTGGTGTGCATGCATAATCATATAATTTCCTTGTTTTTCACATGCTTCACTAATAATAAGATTTTGAGCTGTAGGTGGCAACCCCCAGTCCCAAGCTTCTCCAGAAGTAAATCTCCCAGTTTCCGCTGGGATAGGAGAGGGACAGCATTCCCATAGTGTGGGATGTGAAGGGTAATCTAGGGACCTAGCTTCTTCTGAAATAACTGTCACCTCTTAGACGTCTCTTTTACTCCTGGGTCCCAAGGTACCAAGGGATTCCAGTTTCTGGGCCTTTTTTGAGTATTCTTTGGTGCTGACAAGATTGACTCTTTTATTTTATCTACTACCAGCTTAGGATTCCACTTTTCCAGGTCTGTTAACTCAGTCCCACTGTCAAAAAAAAATTATACTAGCACATAGCCAGGAGAAACTGTCTGCAGCTTAGTCAAGTTGAGGGCAGTGTTAATATCATCTTGATCACCACTTCCTCATCCATATGGTTTCCAGCTTTCTAAATTGTGTTACTATTTTGTGCTTTCTACTCTTCTCTGTCCTTGTGGGGTTTATGACTTTTTAAAAAATCACTTTACTTTTAGTAGGGTTTTAGGAGAGAGTAAAATTAGATACATGACCTTAATAGAACATCTTTAGCTAGAAGGGTGAGAATTCTTTAAGAAAGGTATGTTATGGGGGGATCGGTTAGCCTGGTGATGGGTATTAAAGAGGGCATGTACTGAATGGAGCACTGGGTGTTATACACAAACAATGACTCATGGAACACTACATCAAAAACTAATGATGTAATGTATGGTGATTAAAATAACATAATAAAAAAAGAAAGGTATGTCATTCAGTCTATTCAACAAATGGTGTTAGGAAAATTGGACAGCCACATGCAGAAGAATGAAACTGGACCATTTCCTTACACCACACACAAAAATAGACTCAAAATGGTTGAAAGACCTAAACGTGAGACAGGAGTCCATCAAAATCCTAGAGGAGAACACAGGCAGCAACCTCTTCGACCTCAGCCACAGCAACTTCTTCCTAGAAACATCACCAAAGGCAAGGGAAGCCAGGGCAAAAATGAACTATTGGGACTTCATCAAGATAAAAAGCTTTTGCACAGCAAAGGAAACAGTCAACAAAGCCAAAAGACAACAGACAGAATGGGAGAAAATATTTGCAAATGACATATCAGATAAAGGGCTAGTATCCAAAATCTATAAAGAACTTATCCAACTCAACACCCAAAGAACAAATGATCCAATCAAGAAATGGGCAGAAGACATGAACAGACATTTTTCCAAAGAAGACATCCAAATGGCCAACAGACACATGAAAAAGTGCTCAACATCGCTCGGCATCAGGGAAATCCAAATCAAAACCTCAATGAGATACCACCTCACACCCGTCAGAATGGCTAAAATTAGTAAGTCAGGGAACGACAGATGTTGGCGGGGATGTGGAGAAAGGGGAACCCTCCTACACTGTTGGTGGGAATGCAAGCTGGTGCAGCCACTCTGGAAAACAGTATGGAGGTTCCTCAAAAAGTTGAAAATAGAGCTACGCTATGACCCAGCAATTGCACTACTGGGTATTTACCACAAAGATACAAATGTAGGGATCCGAAGGGGTACGTACACCCCAATGTTTATAGCAGCAATGTCCACAATAGCCAAACTATGGAAACAGCCAAGATGTCCATCAACAGATGAATGGATAAAGAAGAAGTGGTATATATCTACAATGGAATATTATGCAGCCATCAAAAGGAATGAAATCTTGCCATTTGCAATGACGTGGATGGAACTGGAGGGTATTATGCTGAGTGAAATCAGTCAATCAGAGAAAGACATGTATCATATGACCTCACTGATATGAGGAATTCTTAATCTCAGGAAACAAACTGAGTGTTGCTGGAGTGGTGGGGGGTGAGAGGGATGGGGTGGCTGGGTGATAGACATTGGGGAGGGTATGTGCTACGGTGAGCGCTGTGAATTGTGTAAGGCTGATGAATCACAGACCTGTACCTCTGAAACAAATAATACATTATATGTTAAAAAAAAAAAGATAGCAGGAGGGGAAGAATGAAGAGGGGGAAATCAGAGGGGGAGACGAACAAACTGAGGCTGTTTCTTGCTTGAAAATCACACATGCAGTCAGAAAGCTTCATAGATAACTGGTCTGAGAGTGAATTGCTGACTGAAGGTCTCTATAGTCTGTTAAGAGTGATCAGTGTTCCTAAAATCCAGAAGCCTCAGGTTCCTAGGTAGAGCAGCTGAACTCATAACAGTGGATAGTTTCCTAGAGCTATAAAGGACAGCACACACTGTCTTCTGATCTACCATCAGCACCACCACCACCAACAAATAGAAGAGCACAGAATAGGAGGTGAGGAAAGGAAAAGGAATACCTTTCAGATTCCCAATTCTGCAGATTTTCTATGCCAAAGGAGCCCTGTTAGTCGGTGTCTTCCAAGGTTCTTAAAAGCCCATAACTTCCCAATATCACCACAATTCCCCTTCCTCCTAGCTCCTGGCAACCACCATCCAATTATCTGCTTCTATGAATTTGACTATTTTATGTTCCACATAAAAGTGAGGTCATGCAGGATTTGTCTTTCTGAGTCTGACTTATTTCACCTGACATATTGTACAAAGTTCCAGTTATGTAGGATGAACAAGTTTTTGAGACCTAATGTACAGCAAGATGACTATCGATAACAATGCTGTGTTGTGTACTTGATGTTTGCTAGGAGAGTGGCTCTTAAATTAAATCTCGTCACCATACACACAAAGATAAAATAAAATGATAACTATGTAGAAGTGAATATTAATTAGCTTGGTTGTGGTGATCATTTCACAACATGTACATATCAAAACATCAAGTTGCACACTTTAAATACATATAACATTTATATGTCAATTATACTTCAACAAAGCCATTTAAGAAAAGAACTAATAAATTCCCAGGAAATAAGAGGAGAGACATACACTCTATTTAGCTATGTGATATCGCAGTCTAATAGGCAAGAGCAATAATCAGTGCTATCAACTCAGAATTCATAATTCACACTAAAGAATTGGTAGGAAAAGAGACAATAACTGACAGAATGTAATTGAAGTTATCAAATATTTACTGAGCACTTACTGCATGCAAGGCTCAAGATTAGGGGTCTGGCATCTGGGAGACATGAATACACATGTCTGTTATAAAGATGAGCAGATGTCACCGACATAAGACTCTTGTGCTGTTGAAGAGTTTCTCCAGGGCCCTCTTCATGTCTCTATTCCTTAGGCTATAAATGAAAGGGTTAAGCAATGGAGTGACCACTGTGTACATCACAGAGGCAATTATGTTGTCACTGGAACTGCCAGATGAGGGGAAAAAATAAAGCCCAATAATTATCCCATAATACAAGATACCACAGAGAGGTGGGAGCCACATGTGGATAAGGTTTTGAAGATCCCCCTGGCAGATGGAACCTTCAGAATGGGGCTCCAATGTGGCCATAAGAGATCAAGATGCATATTAGAGGGAGGGCAATGACTGCCACTCCTGCTGTGAAAATGACCAGCTCATTAAGTGATGTGTCTGAGCAGGAGAGCTTGAGCAGGACACCAAGGTCACAGAAGAAATGGGGGATGGTGTTGTCAGCGCAAAAGCACAGCTGGGCCAAAAGGAGGGTGTGAGACAGGGCACTGGCACAGGAGAGGATCCAGGATACAGCTACTAGCAAGATACACCCCCTCTCTCTCATGATGGTGGTGTAGTGGAGAGGGTGACAGATAGCCACATACCGATCATATGCCATGGAGGTGAGAAGGAAATTGTCCAGATCAGTAAAAAATATGAAAAAATACATCTGTATTATACACCCTGCATAGGGGATGGATTGATCTTGAAAGTGCATGTTTATCAGCATCTTGGGGACCGTGATGGATGAAAAGGAGACATCTGTGAGGGCCAAGTGGCTGAGGAAGAAGTACATGGGGGTGTGGAGGTGAGAATCCATCCTGATGAGCAGGATGATGAGCAGGTTCCCCAGCACCGTGGTCAGGTACATGCCCAGGAACAGGGTGAAGAACACACCCTGCTGCTCTGGCCGGATGGGGAGCCCCAGGAGGAGGAACTCAGAAATGCTGCTCTGGTTCTCCTTCCTCATGCTCTTCTTATTAAGGATAGAGCCTCATGTCTGAGTGCCATATGGTGGTATTAGAGAAGCAATGCAATTAGAAATAGATTCACATTCTGGCAATACCACTTCATGTTTGTGAGTTCTGGGTAAGTGACCCAGTTGAGTTTCAATTTTCTTATCTCCAAATTGGAGACATGACGACGAGCCTCAGTCATGAAAAAATTATGTACAATCCCACCTCACTCATTGAATTTATAACAACTGTTTAATTACATGGCTAATGGGTTCTGCTGCTATGCTATTTATTATTCCAAATAAAATTATATTGTAAAGGAGGGTGAATTTAAGAATAGATTTTAGGCATGTAACACTCTGAAAATAAAATGAAGCCAATAAAGAAGGATATAAAATTAAAAAAATAAATTTGTGAATATTAATAAGATAACATTAGTGAAGCACCTCAGCAGATAGTTGTCACAAATTAGTCTTAGTTTCCTGTCCTCTGTTTCATGAGATCCCTTTATTTCTCCCTCTTGACTGCTCACTCCCCTCGACAGGCAGATTTTGGGCAGGGATCAGGTGCCACAAAGCCACTTCATTGCGGGATTATGACCTGATGTAGGCAAAGGTCATATACAGCAATGATGAATTTGGGAATACAGGCAGAGTCCAACCACATCCTGCCTGGTAGAGAATGACACCTCCAATAGGCCACTGTTCTGGACTTCTCCCACTTTCTCTCTATTCTGTCTGGTTTTCCTCATGCTTTATAAATAGGACTGCTCCTTCTTAAACTAGTAAACCTATCTAGTCTATAGGATTTGGGATTTTAATAGAAATCCCTTGGATACAACTTGATTGTACCTCTTTTTTTCTGCATAAACCTTTTGTAAAGAACATATGGACTCTCACTCCACCACATCCAGCCTTCTGGTCAATAATACTTCAACCACAGCTTACTGATAACTGATATTTCTTTGACAGCGAGACTGTGTCCTGTAGAGGGCAAAGCATGGGCTTTGAGATCAGACAGAATGGATTAAAAATCACCTTTCCACTATTTGTCAGATCTGTCTTTGGGCAAGGCATTGCACCTCTTGGAGCCTCAGGTTTTCCTCTCTAAAACTGGGATACTAGTTCCTGAATCAAAAAAAATTAAATAAGGTAATGTATGTAAAACACCTCACTCCTAGGAGGCATCCTACATGAGGTGATATTGCTCCTATTAAATATAAAATGCAAAGAACTCCAGTGAAAAAACTCAGGGTCTTATCTTCAGTGGAACCCAGGAAAATGTAATTGGGGCTAGTATCCAAGATCTATAAAGAACTTGTCACACTCAGTACCCAAAAAACAAATAATCCAGTCAGGAAATGGGCAGAAGACATGAACAGACACTTCTCCAAAGAAGACATACAGATGGCTAACAGACACATGAAAAAATGCTCCACGTCACTTGGCATCAGGGAAGTACAAATCAGAACCACAATGAGATACTACCTCACACCAGTTAGAATGGCTAAAATTAACAAGACAGGGAACGACAAATGTTGGTGGGAATGCAAGCTGGTACAGACACTCTGGAAAATGGTTTGGAGGTTTCTCAAGAAGTTAAAAATAGATCTACCCTATGACCCAGCAATTGCACTACTAGGTATTTACCCCAAAGTTACAAATGTAGTTATCCGAAGGGGCACATGCACCCCAATGTTTATAGCAGCAATGTCCACAATATCCAAACTGTGGAAAGAGCTGAGATGTCCATCGACAGATGAATGGATAAAGAAGATGTGACATATATATGGGGGGGGAGAGATGTAATGGAATATTACTCAGCCATCAGAAAGGATGAACACTTACCATTTACATCAATGTGGGCAGAACTGGAGGTTATTATGCAGAGCAAAATAAGTCAATCAGAGAAAGACAGTTATCATATGGTTTCACTCATATGTGGAATATAAGAAACAGGGCAGAGGACCGTAGGGGAAGGAATGAAAAACAGAATGGGAAGTCATCAGAGAGGGAGAAAAACCATGAGAGATATCTTAACTATAGGAAACAGAGGATTGCTGGAAGGGAGGTGAGTGGGAGGGATGGGGTGGCTGGGTGATGGGCATTAAGGAAGGCACATGATGTGATGAGCACTGGGTGTTATACACAACTGATAGATTATTGGACACTACATCTGAATCTGATGATGTACTTACTATAGGTTGGCTAATTGAATTTAAGTTTAAAAAAAAAAACCTTCAAGATAAAAGAAAAACAAGAAAGAAAGATCTTTCCTGGGCCCAAAGTTTGATGCTTTCAATGAAGGTATGAGACTTATACTAGGGATTTCAGGCAGGAAATCATCAAACAGATTCTAAGAAAGAACTGTGATATAAGTGCTATATGTAAAGCAAAAAAAGGAACCAAAGTTCTCTAGGTAAAAGTTGTCTTTCAAGTATACTTTCAGGTGGAAACAACAATGTTGTCTAAAGGGGAGGGAGTGATCAGGGACTTTGGAGATAAGCATTGGAAAGAGCTGGTTGACACTGCATTCACTAAGAGCAGCTAAGAACTAAGCCACACTAACACTAAGCAACTGAGAACTAGAATTCTGACATCTAGGACTTGAATGATGAGATGAGGCCCCCAGCCTGGATCGGGATATGCCCACTAATTTTATGCAGCCAGCTGGCTCTCTTCCTCATCTCCCCAAGGCTGAGGGTTAAAGGTCTGACAGTCAGTGGCCAGTGGTGAGTGTGGTATCCCTCTGTTTAGGAACTAGTAAGAAGTGACTTCAGGGAGAGCACAGAGAAGTGATGAGCACACACACAAACACACACACACCCCTGCTCCTGAGGAAGGATACCCAGTTCTGCTCTGAGCTTTATGCTCAAGTCATCTTGCTCCTGGGAGTATGGATTTGGTTTCTCAGCTTCTTGGCAGGATACCCAGAGATCATATTCAGCCTACAACTTCTGTGGTCCTAACTCTCTCACTGACACAAGGAAAAGTCATGAGCCTGGAGCTTACTCTTCTCAATTCACCAGCTTCAGAAATGGAGATGTGAAGACTCCACTCTCACCAGGAGAGAGCCCAAGGGGACAGGGCACCAACCTCTTGGTTAAAGACATGCATTAAACATGGATTAATTGCTCAGTTCTCTTCTTCCTCCCTCCAGTACAGATGCCCTAGGGCAATGTCCCTAAACTTTGATGTTCAGCAGAATCACCTGGGAGTTTGTTAAAGATGCAGATCCCAGCTCCACCTCCCAAGATGCTCATCCCTGAGATCTGGGGCCAGGTAATTCAGAGGCAGATGGTTCTAAGGGCAGACTTGGAGGAAACATGGTCCTTAGGAAGAATATCAGAGTGTGAACCCAAAAGGAGATGTGGAAAGATCTCTTTACTGGCCCTTGCCTGCCAGATATCTGTTTCCCCTAGTTAGGTCATATCTTAGGATGTCGTGGGATCCCACAACTTCCATAATTTAAGTCTTTACACAGTATTCTTCAAATTGTAGTTCATAGATCTGCAGCATCAACATCATGTGGAAACTTGTCAGAAATTCAAATTTCGGGGTCCCATCCCAGAACTACTGAATCGGAACTTGGTGGTAGAGTCCAGAAACCTGTGTTTAAATCACTTCTCCAGGAATTTTTTTTTTAGTTTGAGTAATTTAAGTTGACAAACGATGTTATATTGGTTCCAAGTATACAACAGTGACTCGACTTACCTGTACATTATGCCATGCTCACGACAAGCATAGCTACCATCAGTCACCATACAACATTCTTAAAATAACACTGACTATATTCACTATGCTGTGCCTTTTATTCCTGTGACAGAAATGCACCCTGAAGTTTGAGAAGCTTTGCTTTTATTCTTCACTTGGGAAGGTGGAATGTCCATGGAGAGTCAGTGCTAAACCTGGAGTGGTATTTGTAGGAAAGCAACGATGCTTTCTGAGAGTATGCACTATAATTTGGTTAATTTACAAAGGAGGCCAGCATGAAGCAGGCTCTCATTTATGACTGTGTATGGGGGCTAAGCAGCAACAACCACACAGTGTTGGCAAAAGGGGGCTGGTGAGTCTTGATTTCCTACAGGCCCTCTGTCTTTAGAGCTGTTGTTGTAACGTTTTATATCATGGGCAGAGAGTAATACACTTCCTCTTACTCAAGTGACAAGCAGTTTGGATTCTTTGATTTTTTTTTAAGATTTTTTAAATTTTTTTATTTGAGAGGGAGAGAATGAGAGAGAGAGATCATAAGAGGGAAGAGGGTCAGAGGGAGAAGCAGACTCCCTGCTGAGCAGGGAGTCCGATGTGGGACTCGATCCCAGAACTATAGGATCATGACCTGAGCCGAAGGCAGTCGCTTAACCAACTGAGCCACCCAGGATACTTTGATTTCAAAAGATGTATAAAGATGAAAGGAAAATCTGTTTAAGATACATAAGATTTACCAAAATAAGGCTTTTAAGTATCTTTGACCCTTACCTTGCACATTTTTTTTTTCTGGCAAGCATGTAGGCATTCAGCAGAAAGTCCCTGGGGTCTTGGAGATAGAACAATTACCACCATTAGTGTGGTTCTGAGGGAAACAGAAAACAGTGGGAAGAACGTGTGCTCTGCATGGGACACCCAGAGACCACTGTTCCCTGGACAGGCACCCCTCTCCTGGGCCTTAATTCTCTTAAGTGTACAGTGAGGACACTCGGCCTTTAGCTTCCCCCACTGCTTCATCCTCCTACCATCTGGCCTATGGTAATTTCTCTCTTCCTGGGCAGGTCATACAGGTCAAGACATGTTACAGTGGGGTTTGTTTGTTTATTTATTTATTTAAAATCAATTACTCAGGGGGCGGAGCAAGATGGCGGAGGAGTAGGAGACCTAGATTTCGTCTGGTCTCAGGAATTCAGCTGAATAGGGATCAAACCATTCTGAACACCTACGAACTCAACAGGAGATCGAACAGGAGAGTAGCAACAACTCTCTGAACAGAGAAGCGACCACTTACTGGAAGGTAGGGCGTG